CTATATTATCTCCATTTTATAGATAAGGAAACTAAGGCAGACAGAGGTTAAGTGACTTGCCCGGAGTCACACAAGTAGTAAGTATCTGAGGTGAGATTTGAACTTAGGTCTTCCTGACTCCCAGTACAGCCCTCTATCCACTGTGCTACTTCTGCATGTCTAGCTCAGAGACCAGATTTCTTTCTCTTTAAAATTACAGGTGTACTTTGGAACATTCTTGTTCATAGGGATACCATGCAGTATTGGTTTTTTTTTTTTTAAGTACTGTGTTGGTCCCAGGTCTGTCACTGAGGGACTGTTTAACCTTGGACAAGTCATGTAACTTCCCTGGGATTAGGCTTCCTTCTGTGTAAGATGATGAGAGAGCTGTGGGTGAGAGGAGTTAGGCTAGCTCTCTAAAAGCCCCTTCTGAATGGCAGATTTTGTGCCCCGTGGAAGAATGGGGTTGGGATAAGAGGCTGCTGAACACTTGGACATCCTTGTGTTCTAGTAAGTTATTAAGGACTCTACTCCCTTCTACCTACTGTACCACTGTTTAAAAACACTATGAGCTGAAAATTTCATGAGTAATGAGGCTTATCTGACTCTTATCCAAATGTTTCTCTTTCATAAACAGTCCAGGGTTCCAGTTTTCATCAAGGACCCCTAAATAAAACACAGTTCTCCTCCCTTTAACGCTGCTGTCCTTTAACACTGCAGCACAGTAAAATGTAGAACTAACTGGAATCCAAAACACCTTCCTACCCTCTCCCCAACCCTTGACTCACTCCTCACGCTTACTCCCCCTTGCCCAAGGATGCTTCACCAGAATGCCAAGTCGTTTCCAAAGGATCCACTTCCTTTCCCTGATTTCCACCATCCAGATGGAGGCTGAAGCCGAATCAATCTAGAATAGTGTCAGCTAGGAACTATTTGGCCTAAGCTAGTACCATAATGAGTCTTCATTCCCAGAACCTACAACATCAGCCAAGGCAAGGGGCCAAGATGTGCTGGGATGCAAAAGGAAAATATTATGGAATTGAACATTTGAAGTAACCAGTCTAAGAAGAGATAATCCACACTAGGATAAATAGGAATCAATGGCAATCTGTACAAAAGTGAGGATAATAACACTCTCTTTGTAGTACTGTGGTGAAGATCAAACGAGATAATATTTGTAAAAAGCTATTAGCATAGTACCTGGTACATAGTAGATACTACATAAATGCTTATTCCCCTTTTTCCCTTATATTTTGCTATCTCTGTGAGTTCAGAAAGGTCACTTAACCTCTATGGCCATATTTCCTCATCCGGAAAGTAAGAAGGGTGGCCTAGATGATGGCAAAAGTCCATTCCTTGGGGACATGCTCCCACATAGTCTCCTCATCTCACTTCTGCTGCCACTTTGGGAGTTTGTAATTTACTTTTAGGTAGATTTGCTTCTCCTCTTTACTTAGGTAGTGGGGCCACCCAAGTAGAGATGCCCTGGGACTCTTTGAGTGTCATGGCTATTTCCAAACTGCCATTCTCATGGACTTGGTAGTTGCCACATTCAGGTTGCTCCCCTGACTTATTCTTAAACCTTTCAACCCTGTATGACAGCACATAGCATAATAAGGTGGGAGGGCCAGACAGAGGCCTATAATCCATCAGTCAATAGTCAGGTGGGCATCACAGGGTCTATGTTATGGCTTCAGCTCTGCCAGGGACCTGAGTCCCTTTACCTCTCTGGAACCCAGTTTCCTCATCTGTAAAAAAAAAAATGTATGGAATGACTTTTAAGATCTTACTTATCTCTAGAGTAGAGTAGAAGAAAGTAGTACTTGAGATAACTGAAGAGCTAAATATGATCTCCTCTGTGTCAGGAAAGTAACAGGGAAGCTTCCCTGCTTGCCCTCTCCAACTACTTAAGACCAAAAAGATAGAAACAATTGGACTTCACTTTGACTCTTGTTCACGTGTTTCTCTGTAAACAATTCCAGGATTCTGGTTTTTGCCAAGGGCTCCCCAAACAAGACACACCTCCCCTGTCTGTACCCCCATGGCAGTGTCTTCATACAAGGACAGAACCAAGATTTAAACTTTGGTTCTCTTCTCCACCCCCAAAGCTCACACTTGAGTTGCATCTTTCTCCCCACTTTCTTCCCTTACTCCCTCTAAGTCTTTTCCAAAGGTTCTTCTAACCTGGGACACAGGATACAGCTGTGTAGGTAGGTCCAGAAGGATGTTAGCTCAGAATTCAGGCAAATGTTGACTTTTCTTCCGGAGAAGGGTGTTATTAGAAGACCACTTAGGGCTCTGTTTCTGACCTGACAGTTGGGAGGATTGGACAAATGACCTTCAGACCAACATTTCCTGCTTTGGTGATTTGTCACTCACTTCATGCTTTCCCAAATAACTGCCTGGTGAACACCACCTGTATGACTTTGAGTAAGTCTCTCATTTGTAAAATGATGACCCGGACTAGGTCAGTCAGTGAATAAACATTTATTAAGGGCCTACTGTGTGCCAGACACTGTCTTGGGGATGCAAAGAAAAGCAAAAGACAGTCCCTACCCTCGTGGAATTTGCAATCTAACAGAGGAAGACAGCACACAGAAGGAAGCTGCAAAGTAGGGGAGTGCAGGGAAGAAGGTACATGGGGGAGCGAATGATTGGAGTCCTGGGGAGTGTAGCTGTGGGAATGAAGAGTTGATTGGCCTGAGTGCTTGCCCTAATTGGAGGATCTAGGAGCTCTCTGCCTGCCACCCTCCAATCAGAGGTGACCTCTAAGGCACCTATCAGCCTGTGACTCAAAATTTGGCACCTCCTCCTCACCTTCAGGGAACCATCTGGATTGAGTTGGCCAGACTGATGACTCCTAAACTCCTGTGCTCCCTGGTGGCCGTCCAGAGCTGTGCAGAGTTTAAAAAGTTCTATACTGCAAGAGTCCTCCCTAGGGTGATTGACAGTTGCGGCTTTTGCCAGACTTCCAACAACAACAACAACAACAATAATAATAAGCATTTATATTGCACTTAGGAAGGAGTGAATGACCAGCCAGTCAGGCCCAAATCTGAATAAGTAAGCCCTCCTGATCTCCAGAGCTCAGTGGGTAGGGAGCTGGACCTGTAGTCCTGAGAGATTCAAATTCAAATGTGACTTCAGATACTTATTAGCTGTGTGACCCTGGGAAAGTCACTTAACCACTGTTTGCCTCAGTTTCCTCATGTGTAAAATGAGGATAATAATTGTACCTGCCTCTCAGGGTCATTGTGAGGATCAATAAGATGATACTTGTAAAAAATGCTTAGCATAGTGCTTGGCACATAGTAGGTGGTGTATAAATGTTCATTCCTTTCCCTTCTATTTTGCTATCTCTGTGAGTAAGAGCAGATCATGTAGTCTCTGCAGGGCTATGTCCTCATCTATAAAGTGAGAGGCGTGCACTGGATGATGACAGAGGTCCATTCTGTGATCCCATTACACTAACCATCAACCTCTTTGGAAGGAAACAGCTTGACACAGCCAAAAGTGCACTGACTCTTGAGTCAGAGGACTTGGGTTCAAATCCCACCTCTGAGTAGTTGTTTGACCCCAGGTACTTGCCTCTTACCTCCCTGGGTCCTCATAAAATGAGGATCGTTGGACTAGATCACATCTGAGATTCCTCTTCTCTCTAACTATGTTCTATCCTAATCCAGAAGATCAGAATCTAGGTTTCCTAGAAGGGCCTTTTTTGGGAGAGGCAGGGAGACCACACCTGTGATTCCTTGGTGTCTCCTTCTAGATGAAGATCAGCACCAGCTCTGTAGCTTATGGTGGTCTGAAGTTGCCTGGAGGCTTTTAGGGTCATTTGGCCAGATTGAATCAGAAGCAGGACTTCTCTTTCCACCACATAGGCAGTCTGTGGACATAGAATCACAGATTTAGAGCTGGAGGAGAACTTACTGGCACTCTCCTCGCTTTATGGAAGAGAAAACCGATGCCCAGTGTTGGAGTGGTCCAAAGCCGCATGGGTAGTGTGAGTTGGCAGACCCATGAGTCTAACTCAGGTCTTCTGATTCCAAGTCTAGGGTTTCCTTCCTACCTCACTGTCAACAGGTGAGGCCCAGAAACCCAGCTGGGCCTTTGATGCCCTCCTTCCCTCTCTTTTGCCTCTCCTGTGCCATTGACTCTTTGGGGGATGCCAGGGGAAGTGGTGGGTATAAAGGGAAGGGCAATCTGTAGGCTTCAGCACCGGGTAGCTGCCAAGAGGAATAGGAATGGGAGAAAGGTTACCCTTTGAGAGACAGATGCATGGGGAGCTGCTCCTTCTTGTCCCACCATAGTGCAGCAGCAAGTTAGATGGGTTCAAAGTGGTAAGGGGAAAGGGATTCCCTAGTACATCCATTCCAGGGGTTACCCTGTGCCCCAGACCTAGCTTCACCTAGCCTGAGGATGGCTCTAGGGTCTAGGAACTGGAATATTGAACTGCTGGGAGGGTTGCCTATATCCAGCCACCAAGGTGAATTGCTGTGCTCATGCTAGTTCCCTGATTCAGCATAGAGCTACCAAACTTCCTAAAGGGAGCTCCAAAGAATACCTACCGCAGCTGGTCAGAGCATTTGCAGAAGCCTCTGCTCATTGGCCAAAAAAAAAAAAAAAAAACCACCTCATTTCACATTCAAGTTTGTACCAGCCTGAGCCAGCTGACATTTTGAGTTCTTTTTCCTTCTTCTGCTTACTCATCTCTTCCCCCTTTCACCTCTTAGCTCAAACACCCTTAAGGGCCCCTGTTCTCCTCCCTAAGGCACAGAGCTCCAAGTAAACCAACACCAAAAGAAGAAGCAACAGATAGTGCTGTCTCAGCAGGCTGGATGCCTGATTTCTTCTCTGGGCCGGTGCTTGTTTCCATGGCCATTCAGCGTGAGGATGCTGTGCTTCCTGGTACCAGCCCAAGAAAAGAGGGGATTCTTGGTGCCCCTCCCCACTCTGGTGGGAGGGGAGGGGTGACACATAGTCACTTATGGATGTGTCTCCTTTTACAGCTGAGCCCTCTCCAGGCAGTCCAGCTCAAGCAACAGCAGGAGACGGCGAGGCCCGGAGGAAAGGGGAGCTGGGATCAGGGCCCAGCACCCAGGATGGCTGTGTGGCCACTTCTCTGGATCCATGCGACCTTCATCCTCTGGCTCTTCAGCCTCGTGGGGGCCATCGAGGTGCCTCTGGATCGTGAGTCCCAATCTTTCCTCTTCTCTTCTCCCGATGATTTTGGTGTGAGGGCGGGGAGAAGGGAAGCGTGGAGGGCTTGAGATAAAGGGGAAAGAAGGAGGATTTGGGGAGGAAATGAGCTGTGACTGAGGATAGTAGTTACAGGGATAGTCAGGATGTGGGCCTGGTTCTCCCTTAGACTAGTTATGAGTTAGCCTGTCAGAAAAATCATAACATAACAGAAGCTACTAAAACGTGGCATTCCCAGATGCCGTGGATGAGCATATTGGTCATCGGCCCTGAAGGAAGGCATTGAGTTGGACAAGCCCAGGAGAAAGTGCCTGGAGGCTTGATCCAGGTCCTCGTTTACCCTCCCCAGTCCTACAAGTACTCTTGGCTAACCTACAAAAGCGGAATTTTCAGGTGGCACCGCACATTCAGCAGGCTCCCGCACATCATCTCACTGGCGCTCTGGGGAGAGAGGGTGCCTTCCCTGTTGAGACCATTCAACCCCACACTAAAGGATCTGGGCCACTTCTGGACTAGGTGTCTGTAGGGAGCCAGAAGAGTAGGGCAGGGGGGGCTGGGAAGGGGTTTGTCTTGGCAAACGCCCGCCACCAGATGGGGTGTTAGAGTGGGGCAAGTTATAATGCTGATGTTGGGGGAACGAGAATGGACTTTCTTCTGATCGGCTCTATGATAGCCATAGAAGTGAACCCACACTTTACTGTGTCCTCAGAGGGCAGCATTCCCCTCAATGTAATCAAACCAGCGTTTAAATACCAAGGGGTTTATTTGGCAGTTACTCATCCTCTTCCCAACGGTTGCCTAAGGTTGGTAGTTCAGAGCGTAGCACATTAGAAACGCTACCCATGTTGGGACCTGGTAGCTAGTGTAGGAACCCTAGCCCCCAGCCCTGCAGTAAGTAGGATTAAGTATTTTGTACCATATATCCAGACTCACCTTTGCTGTTGAACTCCTTCCATTGTCAGATGTCAGATATTAATTGTGTGTGTGTGTGTGTGTGTGTGTGTTTTAGGGGTTTTTTTGGGGGGGGGGAGGGATGCATGCCAGGGGTGGGGGGGATCAGGTCATGATGAAACCTCCATCAAGGTCCCTTCTAGCTGTTCAATGCCAGGATTCTCAGCCCTTTTGCCCAAAGGTCTGCAGCCATCAGAAGATGGTAAGACAATGCCTAAAATGTCAACCTTTCCTTCTCCACCTGTAGCTGCCTGTATAGAAAGGACATCAGGCAGAAAATACTTTCTCCTAGGTCAGGAAGTAAACCAGCTATCAAAACTTTTCCTTCATCCTGGCCCACCTAACATTTTCTTCCTTTTCTACTGTTTACTAGATGATTTCTATGTGTTACCCAAGAGTTAAGGTAGGGGTGGGAGGAGGGGGAAGGTATGGCCCCTTTGAGATTTGCTGCTACCTAACCTTGGGATAGATGCCCCTTCTTTTTCCCCTAAGTACACTAGAATCAGAGTTTGAACTTTTGAAAAGGAGTTTACCAACAATGAAGGGAAAGAAAGAAATTTTTCTGGGCTATAAATGGGTTCTGTTTTGTTCATCAGTCAATCAACAAGCATTTATTAGGTACCTACTATGAACCAGGCATTGGTGATGCAAAGGCAAAAATGAAATAAATTGAAGGGCATGAGCAGCACATTCTTAAGATATCTTTGATATAGGCATAAATGGCCCGAACAATTCCCTGGGCTGTCTACCATCTAACCTACCCTCTGGGCCTGGCTTCTCTGAATGATTAGCCACCATGATGTCTCAGCAGAAGCTCATATTCTTGGCCCCTCCCTGACTTTTCCTTACCTCAATTAAAGCTATTGTTATCATCACCATCATCATTTCCCCCCACTCTAACCCTACCCACCAGTTTCCAGAATCAACATCCTCATGTACCAGTGGTCAGCCATATCAGTAACTCATTAGCCATTAATAGGATAAAGATCATTTCTTCAAATTCCCAGCCTCAGAGACCCCATTCAAGGGGTAGGCTCTGCTTGGTGAAAGAGTGTCTGTGGTTCTAGGGAATCCCAGAGTCTGTAATTGTTTTTCTTGTCCAGACTTATGACATCATTGGTTTAAGGTTAGGCAGTCTGGTGGTACAGTAGGTAAAGTCATGGACTTGGAAATAGTGCAAGTCCTGCCTTAGACACTTATAAGCAGTGTGTCCTTGGGCAAGTCACTTAACCTATGTCAGCTCCAGTTTCCTCATCTGTAAAAATAGGGATAATAATATTTTCTACCCCATAGAGTTGTGTTGAGATCAAATAATATCATATATAAATCTTTAAAGTACTATATAAATAAATGCCAGCTATTATCACTATTATTGTTGTTATTATGATTATTAGGGAATCTCTAGTGAGAAAACTTAATAGACGACTGTATTGCAACTTATCTTTGAAAGTTGACTGTAGGTTAATTGACTTACTAAGGGTCACATAGCCAGTTTATGTTGAGGGCAGTACTTGAGCTCAGGTCATCTTGATTCTGAGCTTGGCTCTCTTTGCCACTATTCTTAAAGTAATAATAGCTGCCATTTATATAATGCTTTACATAGCCCATTAATTAATCCTCACAAGAACCCTGTGATATAAGTACTACAAATTTAATCCCTATTTTACAGATTGGGAAACTGAGACTCAGAAAGATTATGGGAGTTAAGTGATTTGCCTGTGATCACACAACTAATAAGTGTCAGAGGTTAGATTTGAACCCAGGATTCTACTGGCCCAAGTTTGGCACTCTATCCACTAAACCCCATTGCCTCTTTCTGGGTGGACAAGGTCCATGCTTCCCCTTAGACTGGCGGTTCTAATGAGGGGCTCTTCCCATGAAGTTGAATGCTATTGGCTCAAGGAGAGTTTCTCATTAACAGACCTAGGCAGACAGTCTAATAAGGCACTCGATGAGGCCACGTCCCTGAGGGGCAAAGGAAATTAGGTTATCAAGAAAGTAGTGAAGGCTCATTTCTCTTCTGCATCTTCCCCTCCTCCTCCTCCTCCCCCTCCCCCTCCCCCACCCTCACCTGCCACTTTCTTCCCTGGGGCCTGTGGGCACAGAACTTCCTACAAGGTAGAAACTATAAATAAATTGCTCCAGAATCTGCTAAAACAGCTGGATCTCTAAAGAGGCACAGAGCCATGTGGGCAGCCAATGCCACTATGGACAATCTCCATAGTAGCACCTTTCTGACAAAGAACTCTAGACTTCTTCTTGGGGATTTCCATGAGACCAGAATCATAAGGCTGAAGGCACTTTCAAGGTCATGGGGTTCTTAATTTAAGGGATGAAGATTTTAGGTGCTCCATGAATTTGGATGGAGAAAAAAAGGGGGCATCTTGATTTTTTGCTATCTTTAGATTTCTCTTGTAATCCTATGTATTTTATTTTATGCATTTAGAAACATTATTCTGAGAAGGCATCCATGCCATAAACTGAGGCCCAAAAAGGTTTTGAATGGCTTGTCCACGTTCAAATAAATTAATGGCAGAGTCATGGCTAGAACTCAATTTTCTTTACATCTGGTACAGTATCATTCTATGTTATTTCACTTAGCCTAAAATACCATAAGGAGGCTTAGGTAAAGAGGCAGGGACGATAGAACCCCTCTCTACCTTGCCCCTCATCATTTTGTATAAAGAAAAACTAAGGCCCAGAGAAAGTAAATACATCATATAACAAATTAATGAAGGGTCAGGATGAGCAGCATGGTATCTTGGCTCTCTGTCCAGTGTTGTCCATCTCCTTAGACTGCCCTGCCTCCTACTGGTTTTACTTCATTTCTCTTGGTGTCTGGTGGAGCCCTTGAAAAGTGAGGCCTCTCACTGTCTGCTCTGGAAACTGATCTAGCTGAGTGTGGGCCCACTGTACAGGACCAAGGCAAACCACAGGCATGTGGCATGTCCCAAATGCTCACTGTACATCATTTGCAGTCCTACAGAGAGACCCTGGCCCATCAGCCATAGAGGTACCTCCACACAAAGAAAATTGGCAGCTGCAAAACCTCCCTGCAAAGCAACAGAAACATGATCCCCTTAGATAAGACCCAAAGTCATTCTGGGAAGGGCCGCCCCCCCGCCCCCATCCTTCTTCTCGTCCTCCTGGACCTGGCACAACAGATGTCATCCCATGGTTAGCTGAGTCCATCCATCAGACACCCCATGCCTGGACACAATAGAATGTGCTTGGGATCCAATGTCAATCTTAACTTTTGATCTCTGCTGGACTGCGGGAGCCCTGGAGTGACTTGGCCCCAAGGAACCCAAGAGGCTGCTCCCAGCGGTTCCACTTACTTGATCGACAAGGAGTATTTTTCCGGTGCCTCGATGGTGGAATTGGTTTTGCCCCTTGGCTGGTCCACAAACCCAGAGTTTCCATGAGACAGGCCTACTGTCACGGAGCCCAGGGCCACCACACAAATCTTCCATTGATGCATGCAATCTCCTGCTACTGCTGCTGCCTTGGCCCACTGAGTCAGCCCCCCACCCCCTACTCTTTTTACTTCCTCACCAATCTCAAGCAGAACAGCGTGACCTTTGCAGAAAGCAAATAATGGCCTCTCCAGCCAGTGTGGGTTTGCCAAGAAGTGAGTCCGCTGGCATCTTTCCCCCACTTCCTCTCCCTACTCCCTCTGGAGACTCAGCATTCTTCTCCTAGGTACCCACAGAGAAGGCGGTCCAGGCAGGACACTCACTTTGTGTCCTAACCCCCATCCTGAGCTTCGGAAAGAGGCCTCCACGGGGCAGCAGCCGAAGCCGCTGTTGACATCAGAGCCGACTTCTAACTCAGGAAAAGAAAGGGGTCATTTGAATCAAAGAAATCAGACACAGGTCTCCCTTGTATCTGCCCCCCCCCCCCCACAGAGCCCAGCTGGAGGACTTTCCCCCTTTGGAACCCCAAGGGCAAATGCATTCTCCTCTTGACACGGCCATAAAGGAAGTCCAATAGCAGGAGAGAGGGGCAGGTGGTATGGCCCTAGCGTCTCCAAGTGGCACATAAGAAGGAGCTTGGCTGTCCAGAATGTGTGAATTTATTTACAATCCTCATCCTCTAGTCTGGCAGACCTTTTCCATAGCAGATTAAGTGCAGGCTTTTCTTTGGCGTCCATTCAGCCCTGGTAATAAAATCCTTGATTATACTTCAGTGACTCTAGATGTCATTCCCCTGTAGAGCAAGGGGCTTCTTAATAAGCCCTGAGCCAGCTGTTTCTAGCCCTGGATGTCTTGGTATTCTTTGCTGCCCCATGCATGATTTTGTAGGTAGTATAACCAGAATAACAATAATGGTGCTTTCAGGCCTCCCATCCATCCCCTTTCCTCAGGTCCTCTGCATATCAAGGGGGAAGAGAGAGGCTGCCTGATGTCCTGATTGGCTTCAGAAGAGGCAGCAGGACGGAATGAAAAGATCACTGGACAATTGTGCTTTAATTAGCTCTGTGACCTTGGAGAAGCCCACTCAAGTCTCTGGGCCTTGGCTTCTTCAGTTATAAGAAAACGCAGTTGAATTAAATGATTTCTAAGGTCCCTTCCAACTCTGGCCTCTTGTAAATGTATACAATAAAAGCCTGGCACTTAGTAGCTCCTTCTTAAAGAAAATGTAGAAGAAAAGGGGCAACGCAGGGTTCCTAGACCTTGAAATTCTCCTCTTTGTGATGCCTTTAGCAAAGGAAGGGCTGTGCTATCTAGAGGCAGGGAATAAGTGCAGAGTAGTAGAAAGAACGATTAATTTGGAGACCTAAGCTTGCGCAAGTCCTACCTCGGTCATGTTATTAGTCGTGTGACTTTACGTACTTTATAACAATCCTGTGAGGTAAGTGCTATCATTATCCCCATTTTACAGATGGGGAAACTGAGGTTGAGAATGATTCAGTTACTTGCCCAGGGTCACACAGCTGGTAAGTCTCTGCAGCAAGATTTGAACTCAAATCTAGCATTCTAAAGTTCCTTCTGGCTCTAAAATCCTATGATTTAAGTCCAGTTCTCCTATTTTGACACATGAAACAGCTTGGTGGTACAATTTGTAAGAATGCCACAGAGGCGTATCAGCTGTGTGATCGTGGGTAAGTAACTTACCCACTCTCAGCCTCAGTTTCCCCATCTGTAAAATGGGGATGATGATAGCCCTTACCTCACAGGGATGTTATAATGTGCTCTATAAACCTCAAAGTGCTATATAATGCTAGCTATTTAGAGATCAGATTTGAACCTGACCCTTCTTTCTTAGATTTCTATCTGCAAGTTGAGCTGGTTCCAACTCTTAAATAATCACAGACATGTTAAGAGCCAGGAAGGATACTGTCCCTTTGAGAGTAAATCAGATAGAGAAGGGGGAAGTCAGAAGTGGCCTGGGTCATCATCAGGAGGCCTGAGTTCCCGTCTCAGCCTGAATTCTCTAGAAAATATTGCCATTTTTTCCACCTCACCCTCTCATACCTAGTTCTGTCTGGCTTTTGACCTTTCTCATAATTCCTCTGATCTATACTCTAGCATAAAAGTCCAATGGCTTTGTGGATTCCCCCTGAAAGGACCTCTTTGGACGATTCATTCAATAATGGTGGAGTCTTGCTCTCTCCCAGGAGTCTTTATTTTACCTCTGCCTCTCTCCCTCCAGGACCAGCCCTAGGCAAAATCTAAAAATTGGCAAAGTCTCTCTTCTGTAGCCCATCAAGTTCACCCTCTCTGGCCTATTTTAAGGGAAAAATTCATGTTTAAAAAAATCTTCTTATGTGGTCATACCTCTTACCTTTTAAATTTCTAGCAGTACATGGTATAACCCAGCTCCATCTCTCACTACTCTCCCCTTCTATCTTCCCTCGAATTAGAAGCTCATAAAATCTTAGAGTCATTTTAGCGGTCATCTGGCCAGTCCTCCCACCCCATGCAGGAACCTCCTCAACCACATAGAGGAAAGCATTATGATATAGTGCAAAAAGCAATGGACTGGGTTTGAGTGGCATCTTTTCCTCATAGGTGGTCCCTTCCATCTTACACATTCTTTGATTCTATGAAAATCCTTCACAGGTAGCCTGTAGCCCCTGTGTGAATACTTCCAGAGACCATTCCATTTTCAAGTAAATCTCATTATTAGAAAGCTCTTTCTTTGGTCACTTCTAGTTTGGCCTTCTTTTAATTATCCTGGGTATCCTCTTTCTTCCCTCCTTCCATGACTTTTTGCTTCTCTTTCTATCGTTTTTGTCCCTACTGACTCCTCCATCCCATATTTTCTGAGTTCCTGATAATTTTCCTTCCGATCAAGCTAAAATCCAGCCAGACAGCAGAAATATCGTGACAATTGGCCCATACAGTCCAACAGCCTTCTAGCTTCCACCATGAGCACTCTTAAAAAAATTAAAATCCTAGAATACTATTACAACTTTTTTTTAAAAAAATGTGTCAAAAGTAAATATGAATATTATAGCAGAAGGGATAAACATGAGCATATCACTTACCCCTAATTGCTGAGTACTTCCAACATCCCAGACAATCAAGTGAAATACAAGTTCCAAATCAGTGTGCTGACACAAAACTATACCCAAAAGGATTCATGAACTGGGACCCCTCCTTTATTCTGCATAGGATCAGAGCCCTGCAAAGAAGTTGGGGATCAGTTTTGTTTCATTTCTTGGTCCTTCCCACCAGAAATAATGTATTTGTTATAGCAAATGTATTTGTTATAACAAAATGTCATTACACTATCACAATCAACTTGGTCTTTAAAGGTTGTTTATGAAGGTTGGTAGGAGGAGGAAAGAGAGTTCTGGGTAGGGGAGAGAGGAAAGAGAAGATGTGGAAGAGCAGGTGGACCACCGAGGTCCCAGTCCTTGAGACCTCAGCCTTCTCATGGTGTCCCACCATCCTTCCTATGACATTGCGTAGCTTCTACCTTCTCTTACACCATGGTGCCATGGTGTCATTCTCTGGTCAATTGATAAAATCTTTGGAATATGGGTGTCTCTTTTAGGTTCCAACTGTCTAAGGGATTTTGTTCTCTTTAGCATCCAAGCTTCATTGAAAATGTCTGTTCTTCGTACTTTGTCAGACTTTGGAATTCCAACACCAAAGAACTCTCTGCACCTTTCCCTATCCCCAATTATGTGATGTGGACAGTTGCCTGAATTGTACAGTGTATCAAGCCTCTGTTACCTATGTATCCTCCCTGGTTCCCCCACTGAGCCTTGTGATGGGAAAAGGGAAGAACCCAGCCCCTCCCTGTCCTTCTGTCCCCACCCTTGTCCCTGCATGCTGGGGTTGAGTAGAAATGTGAGACATGATGATAACCATTGTTCTTCTTTTCTCCCCTCCCCCCTCCAATGCTAACCCATCGGAACTAACAGCAAACATTCAAAATGAGCGTAAGTCCCACCCTTGGTCTTCTGGGCCTGGTCAGTGCTTGGTGCCTGCTGGGGGTGGGGGGAAGGAGGGCCCACCTTCTTGGGCGAGTAGCCTCTGGAACCCTCCAAGCGTCCTGCCCCCTAGAAATCTTCCTATGCTAGAAGCTCCCCTGAGTTGTGTCTACTTTTAGGGTTGGGTGGGAATGCTTCCCCTAAGTTAGGGTCACTTGGGTAAGGTCCCTACGGGGCTTGTGATGATGGGGAAATATAGACATCACTTTGGGGAAAGCAAAGACACTGCAGACAGTCACAAGTAGACCAGTTTCTTCCTGTAAGAGGAAGGAAAAGGAAGAATATGATGCAACCACCCTATTGTAAGGAAGGAAAGAAAACAAGAAAAGCAGAAACAATTGGGATTCGCATGAAGGCCTAAGTTGGTGTGTCTGGGTGGTGTGGTACAGGGATCACAAAGTAGCATGTGGGAGCTCCAGCATCCAGGGGCCCAGAGAAAGGGTAACTAGCTTCACAGAAACAGTGGGTATCCCCTCAGGAAGTTCTCTGGACAAGCAGCTACCACTTGGTGGTACAGTGTGGACAAATGTCTTAGCTTTGGAGTCAAAGGACCTGGGTTCAAATCCTGGCCCCAGTCACTTACTACCAGCATGACTTTGGGCAAATCACCTGTCGCTCATCAGTAAATTGAGGGTGTTGGACTCGATGACCTCCAAGGTCACTTCCAATGCCAAAGTCATGATGGAATTCCATGATCCACAATTGGCTTCTACTGCCAGCTTCTACCTGCCCTCTGAATAGAGGGGTCAGTGCCATTGTTGCCTGTTCCATTTGCAAAGATCTGGGAGGCCTTGTTCCTTCTTGAAGGGGTGTCTTCCAGGTCCTTGTGTTTCCCTTCCTCGAGTTTCCATCTGTGAAGCTAGGACTCAGGAGTGCATCATCAGACACCCCAGACACACACACACACACACACACACACACACGTACACACACACATGCACACACACACCCACAAGCACCAATTCCTCTCTCAGTTCTTAAAGCTCCCACATCTCCCCTATTTCAGTTGACACCCCTCATTGGTAGTTAGAGATCCCACCTCCAGAGCCTATTCTTTCTCCTATGTGTACTGTTGCAGTATCTCAGCCCCCAACCATCACCAAGCAGTCAGTGAAAAATTACATTGTGGACCCTCGGGATAACATCCTCATTGAGTGTGAAGCTAAGGGGAACCCTACCCCCAGGTAAGTTCATTGGCAGGTAAAATCTGAGGGATGGGGGGTAGGGAGGAATGGGCAGAAGGGACCATGAGAGAGGCATGTTCTGAATGACCTCTCTTATTTGGGATGGCCATCCTACCTAGGTGAGAGATAGAAAATGCTAGCACTAGAAGGGGGCTTAGCTATCATTTATTTAATCCAACTCTTTCATTTGATCAATGAGGGAATGGAGACCTCAAGAGGTTAAATCATGTTCCTGTGGTCACACAGGTAGCAGGGTTCATCTTAGAACACAGGGTTCCCAACTTGCAGAACACACTTCTTTCAGCTCTGTCAGGCTGTTGTACATTTGACATCTAAAGGACTTGGATTTGAGTTCCAGCCCTGCCCTTCACTAGCTGGATGACGTTGGATGAGGCCCGCTGCGTCTCTAGGTTTCCTCATCTTAAAAAATGACTTGCACTGCCTACCTCAAAGGACAGTTGTGAGGATCACATGAAACCTGGAAAGTCTATAAAGAGCTTTCTAAACCTTGAAGACCTGTATAAATATTGACTATGTTATTCACGTTATTATTATTATCATCAGAGATGCTCTATTACACTCCATCAGTAGTTTTCGTTTAATTGGCAAATGGTTCTTCCTCACATATAAATGAATCCCCTTATGATATAACTCATTTCTTTCTGCTCTGGTCTCATCAAAGCAATTGCAAGTAATGGTAGCACAAGTCTAGAATTCAGAAGATAAGTCAGTACTGAATATACATATTTGTAAGGGAGAGTGAGTAAGAGAAGAAAAGGGCCAAGGACGTGTCTTTGGGACACATCCATGCTAAGGAGTCAAGAGAAGAAGAAGGAGGCAGGGAAATAGAAAGTGAAGTCAATAAGCATTTATTAAGTACCTACTGTGTGCAGGCATTAAGAGTCTACTCTATATAATAATATGTAGAGTGCTATATAATAATACAATAAGTGCTGGGGACACAATGAAAGGCAAGAAAGAAGAACCCAGACATTCTCTCAAGTAGCCCACAGCACAATGGGAGAAATAATGTGCAAATAAGTAAATACAAACAAGCTAGATACAGAAGCAACTGGAGATAGCCACAGAAGGAAGGCACTAGACATTAGAATTAAGGGGTTCAGGAAAGGCTTCTTGAAGGAAAAATGAAAACATAAAGAAAGAGAGTATCAAGAAAGGCACTTTAAGGAAGCCAGGGAAGCCAGGAGGGAGAGAATCCCAGGCATAGAGAACAGCCAGGGAAAATGCCTCCAGTCAGGAGATGCTGAAGTGTCTTATTCTGGGAACATCAAATCAGTGTCCCTGAATCATAGAGTATGTGGAGGAGGCTAAAGTATAAGAAGACTGAAAAGGTAGGAAAGGGCCAGGTAAGGAAGGAACTTAAAAGTCAAACAGTGTTTTCTTTTTGATCCTGGATGTAATAGGGAGCCATGGGAGTTTATTAAATGGGGGTGGGGGGAATAAGTGGTCCTGCCTGCACTTTAGGAAGATTAGTTTGACAGCTGAATAGAGAATGGACTGGACTGGGGGGAGACTAGGCTGGGAGAGCACCCAGCAGCCTATTGCAATAGTCCCAGCATGAAGTGATGAGGGCCTGGATCATCATGGTGGAAGTTGCAGAAGAGACAAGGGTGCACATGTAAGAGATGTTACAAAGGTAGAATCAGTAGGACTTGTTGACTGACTTAATATGGTGTGGAGAGAGGGCCAAAAATAGTGAGGAATCCAGGATGTCACCTGTGTTGTAAGCCTGGGTGACTGGGAGTCTGGTAGGACCCTTAACAGTAACAGGAAAGTTAGGAATAGATGATGGCTTTGGGGGGTGGGGAAGACAATGAGTTCCATTTTGGACATGTTGAGTTTAAGATGTCTATGGGACATCCAGTTCAAGATACCCAATAAGCAGTTGGATATATAAGTCTAGAGGTCATGAGAGAGGTTAGGGTTGGATAAATAGATCAAAGAATAATCAGCCTAAAGATGACAGTTGATCTATGAGAGCTGAAGAGATCATCAAGTCAAAATAATGTAGAAGAAGAAGAGGGCCCAGGCCTGAGCCTTGGGGGATACCTATGGTTAGTGGACACAACCTGGATGAAAACTCAGTAAAAGAGACTGAGGAGTAGTCAGACAGGTAGGAGGACCAGGAGAGAGCAGTGTCATGAAAACCTAAAGAGAAGAGAACATCAAGGAGAAGAGAGTGACCGATGGTGTCCAAAGCTGTAGGAAGGTCAAGAATGATGAAGACTGAGGAAAGGCTATTAGATTTGTCAGTTAGGAGAGCATAGGAAGCTTTGGTGAGAGCTGTTTGAATTGAAGTCAAAATCCAGAAATAAGACAATAAGAGGAAAGGAAGTGTAGAAGGCCTTCTCAAGGAGTTTAGCCATGAAAGGGAAAGGAGAGAAAATGATAGCTAACAAGGATAGACAGATCAAGGGAAGGTATTTTGAGGATGGGGAGACATAGGCATGTTTGTAGGCAGTAGGGAAGCAGCCAGTACACATGGAGAGATTGATGATTAGTAAGAAAGTGGGGATGATGGAGGGGACAGAATCTGCTGGAGAAGACAGAAAGGAATGGGATCACTTGTGTATGGAGAGGAGTTGGCCTTGGTAAGGAGAAGGGCCACCTCTTCATGTGAGCAAAAGGCCTCTGAATGTTGTGAGATGAGTAACTGGGGAGGAGAGAGAGCTCTTGGCAAATGACCTCAATATTTTCAGTGAAATATGAGACAAAGTTTTCAGCTCAGGGCTGGGGATGGGGTGGTGGTGGTGGGGAGTCATGGGAAGAGCTTGAGGAAGAATGAAAGGTTTAGAAAAAAAGCTGTAGTGAGTGGTTAGGGAGGTGTGAAAGGATTGCCCTGCTGCAGTGTCGACCAAGTTGAGATTATGTAATATAAATTTGTAGTGGACCTAGTGAGCATGGTCTCATGATTTTCTCCAGCTTCGTTTAGCATCACCTAAGTAGGAAACATAGAGAGGGAAGGGATCATAGGATCGTAGATGGAGAAATAGAAGGGACCTTAGACGGTACCTAATCTAACCCTCTCATTTTGCGAATGAAGAAACTGAAGCTTAGAAGGGTTATGCCAAAGGTTAAGGAGTTCCCAGTCTGATGGGAGAAACAACTTGCCAACAGCTGGTGTACAAATAAAATATATACAGGATAAATAGAAGATAATAAGATAGTAAAGAGCAGGATTTGAACATGAGCCTTCTGACTCTAAATCTGGGGGAATGTGGTATATCTGGAGTCAAGGAAAGAGAAGAAAATACCAAGTATGATGGGGTGGTAAAAAGCACCCAGATCATTAATAGATTGATGTTGATCTAGAGGGAAATCTCCATCGGTGAATTCTATTCTGTCTTGTCCAACATATTTTTGGCAACTAAAATCAACCAATAAATAAACATTAAGTGCCTACTATGTATCAGGCACTATACTAGGTGCTGGGGGATACTAAAAGAGGTAAAAGACAGTCCCTGCCTTCAAGGATCTTACAGTCATAGCAATGGTAATGAGGATAAGCCCAGAGTTCTAGTTTTGCCCCTGTCTACCTGTGTGACCTTAGGCCAATTACCTAGCTTCTCTAGGCCTCTTCTTTGAGTTGAACTAGGTGGTCTCCAAGGCCCCTTCCAATTCTGAAATTTTTGATTCTTTGGAGGTTCATTCAAGATCAGAAAGCCATTCTACAGGTCAAATAAGGGGCGTGCTGAAAGTCTGGAAGATTCAGGCACTGTTTCTCAAATAACCTGGAGCAAAGAGAAATTAATTCTTCTGGGGAAGGGAAAAGGCTCCAGCAGGAATACTGGCAAAGGTGACCTTGCTTCTGGCATTAGTTGTACCTTTTGACGGCCATAATTCAAGGCCAGTGGCCCTATGTCTCATTGCCTCTCTAAAGCAGGGAATCTGAACCTTTTTGGTGACATAAGACCCCTTTGGCAATCTGGCAAAGTATATGGACCCCTTCTCAGAACAGTGGTTTATCCATTCATAATTCATATGGATGATGGATAATATGAATATGGAATATGAATAATTAATCATTTATAATTAATTGTTGCCCATATTAATAATTAATTTTTGTTAAAGGTTAGTGAAAATAAAGATGTAAATGTTTTCCCCCATCCAAGTTCACGGTTAACATGATGGTTCCCTGTTCTAGAGAGAGAGTAGATTGAGTAGCTTTGGGGTTCAAAGGACTGACACTAGAATAGGAGCACCAAGAATGATGAAGGGATGCCCAGTGTTCTCAGTCTGGAGCCTTGGTTCTCTCCCTATTCTTCTGCTACTGTCTCTCCCCACCCCATCCCCGCAGTTTCCAGTGGACACGAAATAGCCGGTTCTTCAATGTGGCCAAGGATCCCCGGGTGTCAATGTTTCGCCGGTCAGGGACACTGGTGATTGACTTCCGGAGTGGTGGGCGACCTGAAGAGTATGAGGGAGAATACCAGTGCTTTGCCCGCAACAAATTTGGGACGGCCCTATCTAACAGGATCTTCCTGCAGGTGTCAAGTGAGTTGCTTAGGGGTAGCATCTGGCAAAGATAAGGTTGGGGTTATGTGGGCTTCTGGGTAGCTGTGGTTCCTTGGGAAAACCATGGAGTTATGCTTTTGGGAGTGTCATTCCAGCCAAGAAAAAAGCACTCCACCCTTTATCTAGCTTTCCTAACTAATTATACAGGTGGATTTCTCGGCATCACTGTGATCATCCCACCCATTCTCCTGACTTCAGGCAGGAAACCCTCACCTTCTATCTATGTACCTCTGCGTGTGTGTGTGTGTGTGTGTGTGTGTGTGTGTGTGTGTGTGTGTAAGATTGTTGGGTGGCAGGGTGCTAAGAGGAGGTAAAAGAAGTTTCAGAAGTCAAAATAAAAACATTTTGATACCCCTAGTTGACTGACACTGTGTTTAAAGTGGATAGTGGATAAGAGGTGGGGAACTCTAGAAGAATGTGACTCAACTCAGAGTTAAGACAAGTTTCATTCTTGCCCTGTCTCATTTGCTGCATCCTGCCCTCATTACCTCCCCCACTCTACCCTTCTCTTGCCTCCCCTATTCCCTGCCTCATTGCTCTCCTCTCTCTTCCAGTTCTTACCCCCTAACCTTTTCTTTTAACCTTTTCTCTCTCCCCTGCTCCCATTCTGTTCTCATCAACCACCTTCTGTTCCCCGACAGAGTCACCCCTGTGGCCCAAGGAAAACCTGGATCCTGTAGTGGTTCAAGAGGGAGCCCCCCTGACCCTCCAGTGCAACCCCCCTCCTGGGCTGCCATCTCCTGTCATCTTCTGGATGAGCAGCTGTAAGTCTCATTGGGAGGGGAAGAGGAAGATGAGGAGGTGGCTTGGGGTGAGTCCGGAGGACCCACGTCACCCCCATGATCCTTCAGGTGGGAAGATTCTGTCATAGGAAACAGAGGCGAATGACTGGGACAGCAGGAGGCAGGTTAATACCAAGTCAGCATATTCAATGCTAGGCTTGGCCATGCCTTCATATACTGTGGTAGAGGTGAAGGTATGCATTCTTCCTATAGAGGAATTGTGCGGCAGGGCGTGCTGAGAGCAGAAGGATGTGACATTATCATTCTGGGAGCTATTTATGCCTTGGCTATTGCCTTGCAACAGCACTGAATGACTTATTTAACCCCTTAGTTCCTCCTCCTCACTAAAGGGAGTATAATAAGACACAGAGATGTTATGTCTTGAAGAGCGAATGGGGAAATATCCTTATTTGAAGACCTGCTTATACAAAAATGATAAAGAGGCACAAATTCTGAGTTGTTTTTCCAGAAGTGAGGATGAACCAAGCCACCTTCCCTTTGTCATCTGGTTCCCCTATGACCATGACATTAGCTAGGCTTAGAGACAAAGTCTGTGGCTGTGAATCAGCAGTATTGTCTACGTAGAATTAACAGGCCTATGTAGGGATCACACTTCACTACCATGGTGTCATTAACAGCATAGGTGGTGCAAGGGATAAACTGCTGGGCTTAAAGATGAAAAGCCTGGAGTTCTAATCCCGCCTCAGACATTAGCTGTGTGATCCTGGGCAAGTCACAACTTCTCTTGGCCTCAGCTTACTCATCTATAAAATGAAAATAATAATAGCACTTACCTCAAGGGGTAATTGTGAAAATCAAATGAGATAACCCACGTGAAGTGCTTTGCAAATAGTTCAATGATCCTATCTGTAGAGTTTCCTAATCTCCACATACTTGAAGCACCAACTAAATGCTAACTATTGTTTTTATTATTATTAATTGAGAATGAAATGCTTGGAAAGAAGTACTGGAAAATTAGGAAGAGAGTGTCCATTTTTATGCAGCCTTACAAGTATACTCTTACCAAGAGCATAGTTTTCTGAATCTTACTTTCTCCTAGAAGACACATCACTTGTAATGGAGGGGAAGGGAAGGGGAAAGGATGGGGTTCATTTATTCCTTCGATAAACATGGACATGAAGTTAGCATTCTTTAGCTATTCGTCTTAAATCAGTTGTTACTTACCCAGTTGGATAGCTCTTGACCAATCTGGGGATTTAAGCATATAGAGCTCTGGGTGTAGAGTCAAGAAGATTCATATTTGTGAGTTCAAATCCAGCCTCAGACACTTACTAGTTGTGTGACCCTGGGCAAATCACTTAACCATATTTGCCTCAGTTTCCTTGTCTATAAAATGAGCTGGAGAAGGAAATGGCAAACCACTCCAACATATTTGCCAAGAAAACCCCAAATGGGGTCACGAAGAGTCGCATATGACTAAAATGACTCAACAACAAAAGTCAACAAAATATTGCTTGAATTTACAGTCTGAGTGCCTGGGTTTCAATCCTGGTTTTAACCTGTATAACCTGTGTAACTGAACCAGTTTTTCCTTGCTGTAGAATATGAGGGATTTGGACTGGATGACCTCTAAGTCCTTTCCAGTTCTGAAATCCTATGATCAATTCAGTTCAACAAGATCTTGCCATTGGCCCAGAGAACCATGATCGTCTGAGCCCCTGGCTCCATTGCTGCCTTTATGGGATGGAGAGAACCTGGGTTAAGGACCTTCTAACGATGTGCTTCCTTATTCTAGCTATGGAGCCTATTAACCAGGACAAGCGTGTCTCCCAAGGCCAGAATGGGGATCTGTACTTCTCCAACGTGATGCAGCAGGATGCCAAGACTGACTACAGCTGTAATGCCCGCTTCCACTTTACCCACACCATCCAGCAGAAAAACCCATTCACGCTCAAGGTCCTCACAAGTAAGTGTGGCCCAAGGCCTGGAGCAGAGACTTGAGGAGGTAGGGGTTGAGTGGGTGGGAGAGGAAGGGATGGGGCTCCAATCAGGCCAGAGCTCCCTAGTCCTCATGGTTCCTTCTAGTGGGTCTTTCTAGGGGCTTTCCGTAGTCATTGTCCCTGGAACTGTTTTATCTGCCCTGAGGGCAGCATATCCTAAGCCCCGAAGCTGAAGTTGACCTTTTCCTAAGTTGTCGCCTGGCATCACCACCACATGCTTGATGTCTAGCCAGAAATTGGACTAGCCAATTTTTAATGATCTTTCCTCAAAAGTCCTTTTGTATTTGGCTTTGGAATGCATCATCATTTCCCCCATCACTACCACCGTCACTACAGTTTTTCCTTTCCGATTCTATTTGGCTGATATACAACACTGCATTCCATGAGCCCACACTGCCTGAGGGCAGGCAGGCTAGAGACATGCTGAGTGCAAGGAAAAGTTGGGTTGGTATTAAACCTTTGCCACCGTGGATCTTCAAAGGCTTGCTTCTTCCACTTGCCCACCCAAGATTGGATTTCCTGAGCGTCTTTCCTTGGGAGAGTCCCCAGAGCACTTAAGCTACACGATTCACTACTTCAGATCGGGAATACTCTATTCTGTGTCTAAACAGTAAATAGAAGGGGGCCTGGGGGAGGCAGAGAAGACGGCAGGGTGAGCCAGCAGGGCTGACTTATACAGGATTCTCCCTGCTTCCTGAAGTCACCATGGTTGCTTGTGGGGCTGCCAAGATGTCGAAGGAGGTAGGGAGGGGAAAGAAGGGTGAGAGACTGTCTACCAAGCCACTCCCCCAACTAGGCTTGGAGGACCCATGATCTGGGACTCTTGTTTCTTTTTCTTTATTTCTTTGTTGCCTGGAAACAACAGCAAAAGTATACTGGGGACCTCTGCCTTTAGTGACAGCTCAGAACCGATGGTTTCCTTGCACTTAGCTCATCTGCCTCCTCCTGCCCCACCTGCTCTGTTCCTAGCCTTCCACTTTCAGGTCCTGCTTCCCTGTCTCCTCTTTCTGTTGCCCTGGATCTTCTTTCCCCCTCCTCTTTCTCTTTGTCCTCCTCCTTCACTGTCTGCTACTGTGTCCCACTTCCCGTTGTCTTCTGCCTCCTTCCCTCTCTTTCTCTCTGTCTTCTCTTTTTGTCCTTGCCCATAACACTGTGTGATGCTGTTTTCGTCAACCCTTAATCAATCACTCCATTCTGAGAGGTACACCACTCTGTACTGTGGCCATCGGGGAGGGCTAGTAGGTAGTAGTAGCGTTGAAAGGCCTCAAGTCCAATTTTAATGGAGACTTGTTAAAACAGCCAGAGCAGGCTGGGAAACTGCTCTCAAGCTGGAGGGTCCTTAGAGTTGCTGTGATCTAAAAATAGCTGCAGGGACTCTTTGGGTTCATTTCTCAGCTTCATTCCCCATTCCCCACATGCTCATCCCTCCCATATCCTCCTCCTTTTGCCAAATCCAGGAAGAAACCTCTCCCCAGAGAAGAAATCTAGGTTGTCTAAAATGCCTCCACAGCCCATGCCAGGACAGGTCCCTGCCATTTGGCAGATTGAAGGAGGATAATGCAATATGCCTAGAACATGTGAGTGGCCCCAGTGAGGCAGGGGTCAGCCTGGCAGCCATGGGACCATGTAAGTAGATATAGAATGAATCACAATGGTCCACTATACTCCTCAACCTACTGGGATAGTGGAGGATAGCAGCCTTGTTTTGAGCACATGAAAAGAAAGTTCTTGATGAACTCTATGTATTCAATAAGAATATAAAATTCTTTTTCTTTTGACTTTTAAAACTTCCTTTACCTTCCCCCCTAAATGTTCCAGAGATAGTGGGAGGGGGGCCTGCTGCCATGGGGGGATGACCACAGTGGTGCTAGGAAGTCCCCCTGCGTATCAAGTTCAGAATGCAAGACAAGGAATGGAGAAAAATATAGACTACCACCAGAAAGGGATTGTTTAGCTATTCCTTAGTGGAGCTTAGACACTAAAAAAGAAGCTCTCTTTAGAACCAGAATGTAGAAGGGAGATGTCCCCATCCCACATAAGAGGGCATTGGTGTTTCCTTCCTGCCACTTTGGCTGTGAGAGACTCCCAGCTTCCTGCAGGACTTGGGGGGACAGGTTTGGCTGGGAAGTAGCTTTGGCCATCCTAGGCAGCCCAACACTGGGTGCCATTATCCAGAGCCTCGCCATTGTGCCTTCTTTGGACCCGAAGGCTAAGAAACTTTGAAGGCACAGAATTTTTCTCAGACCTTTGAAACAAAGGCTGAGAGGTGCGGGCTGGCCAGATAGAAAGGAAGAACTCCAAGGGACCATTTCAACCCATTGGCTCAGAGATTTATATTTCTAGATAGAATGTCTCATCTCAGCCAATATTTGGTTACCTGCAGCTTGAGAAAGGAGAAAGGAGAAAGGGCATGGCTAGTCCAAACACAATTTTTATTTGACTTTGGAATATAGGAGGGCTAGAGGGAACCAATTTCTCAAAGAGATACATACACATTTGTTCTTGGCCCACTCCCAGCCTCAGATCCTTCCAAGGACATACTGCTGTCTAGCAAGGACACTCTCAGACACTTGTGGTTCAGGGATTATTTATTATGTGCTGAGCAATGGGTGCTGACTTGTGTTCTCTTTAAGAATTTTTGATGGAGCCATAAAAAGAGAAGAGTGCTCATTGGCCAGGAGTGAGGGCTCCTGGAGATCCTTCCTTCCTTCCCAGAGCTCAGCCATGCCACCACTGCTCAACTCGCACCACACCACACTCTGCCCCGCCTCTCAGTCATATACCCCTGCCTTGCCTGGTTTCCCCACTTCTGGTTCCAATTAAACTGTTCCTACTAGACTGGGAGCTTCAGGAAGGCAAGAACCGAGTTTTACCAAAGCTTTGTTATCTATCTCCCACTGGGTCTAGCACAGTGCTTTGCACACAGTAAGTTTTAATAATAGTTGTTGAATGAGTATTTGAAGGGACCTGAAGCTCAGAAAAATTGGTCTGAGTTTCTCCTATTAAGCTTCAATAAACTCTTCTAGTCCTTTATTACAAATTTCACTCAACTGAATAACTTCATATAGTGAAAAGCTTCCAAAGACTGGCCCTTATATTTCTGAAGAGTATTTCAATACAACAAAATTCTGGGATAATGAAAGAGTTGAGACACCCCTATTGAAATTAATTGTAATAGGATTTTGAGCTCAATTCAAATATGCAAATTTTCTGGCACACCTATCTACCCTTTCTGGCAGCAGACTGTGTTCCTGGATTCTTAGGGATGGTGGTTTGGCTAACATCAGCATCACCACCCCTACCTCTTCCCCAGTTGCACTGGCTACTGTCAGAACTTGAAACCAATGTCCAAGAAGGAGTTAGTGGTAAAAAGGACATTTAGGGTCATTTGTATGACTTCCCTACCCTTTCCCAAAGGACTACTATGGCCCTGTCTTTGAGGAGAGATGGGGAGCCTGTCTAGGGCCCTGGGGCCAGAAAGGCATCCTAGTTCCAAGCAAAAGCAAATTGGAAAGCAAGCCTTTGTTCTTGTTTTATCCTAAATCAATCCCTTTTTGCTCTAGACTGTCTTGGCTCTTGGATCCAGGACTTCATTTGCAAACATTTCTCAGAGCAGAACTTGGCACCCACTTCCCTACTCCCAACCTTCCCTGAGTTTCTCCCTGCTTTTAAAGCTCAACTCACCCCATCCCCAGCAGTTGGGAAAACTGTCCATGAAATATTAGACATCCTCTTAACAGGGACATCTTCCTGCTGAGACTTTTCTCTTAGGCAGCAGCTATGCCCAGAGGAGGACTGGGATGCTGTTCCTGAGTCCTCCATCAGCACATGGTTGTGCTGATTTCTGAGGAATTCGGTCCCATTGCGGAGGCAGGCTGCTCTTGACCTCTTCCTATTTAAAAAAAGATGTCTCTACTACTACCATCACTACCTTCCCACCACACGTGGCCTTAATCTTCTTCTGATGGGATTTTGGTCTCTCTTCCCATCAACACTTCCCCATTTAGGCTGTCCTTGCCACCCACATGAGCCAACAGACCCAGTTTCCCAGGAATAGGGGACTTTATGGGGAATGAACTGCTCTTAGGGGTAGCTAGGTGGCACAGTAGAGTCAGGAAGATGTACCTTCATATCCTGCCTCAGATACTTACTAGCTGTGTTACCCTGGGCAAGTCACAATCTTTCAGTCTCAGTGTTCTTATCTCTAAAATGGGATAATATTAGCACCTACCTCACAGGGTTGTTTTGAGGATCAAAAGAGATAGCACTCGTAAGGAGCTTTGCACAGCTTAAAGTGCTATATAAATGCCAGCTATTATCGCATCTTGAAAGGAAGATCACCTAAGTTTATTGACTTGAAAATAGTCTGCCTAATAATAATAATCATAATAACTTATATTCGTAGAGCACTTTACAATTATAAAATATGCAAGGCAGCTAGATGGCACAGTGGATAGAGCACTGAATTTGGGAGTCAAGAAGACCTAAATTCAAATCCTGCCTCAGATATTTATGAGCTGTGTGACCCTGGGCAAGTCTCTTACCCTCTCTTGACCTCAGTTGCCTCATTTGAAAAATGAGAGAATTTAACTCAATGACTTAATCTAAGGTCCCTTTTGTAAAATGAGGGAGTTTAACTTTATGACTTAATCTAAGGTCCCTTCCACCTACAATCTTATGATCCACTTTCACATACATCTCATGTGCTCCCTAACAATGATACTATGAAGTAGGTAGTACAAGCATTCTTATCCCCTTTTTATAGATAAAACTGAGGTATAGTTCAAGGACTTCTCCCAGGCTTCCTTCTTAATAAGTAGCAGAGCTGGCACTTGAACCCAAAGCTTTAGAATCCAAATTCATGCCATTAACACGCTTACTTCCTCTGAGCCCAAACTTCCTCACCTGTGAAATGGGTATAATAATATGTTCCCTGCCTATCTCACTGGCCAGTTTTGTGTATCAC